GCGGGGCGCACCGGCGCTTGCCCGAAAGCCGCGCCGTGATTGAACTGGGATTTAACTGCTCTTAAAAGGCTTAAATTGCCACTCGCACGCCGGTTTCGGAGAGGGAGTGAGGCGTTAAAGGGAAAAAAAAAAAAAAAAGAAGAAAATTAAAAAAAAAAAAAGAAAGGAGCAAACAGTAATTTTAAACGTGTTGATCATAAAAAAAAAAAAAAAAAAAAAGAAAAAAATCTTATTCGGTAATTAAAACGTATCTTGACTCCTTCCCAATAGCTCCTTACAAGCCCGTGCCACTGCTCCCTTTGCAAATGTTGCACGTACCAGGTACTTCCTTCCAAGCCTTGTAGTGATTCAGAACAGAGGGAATAAGCAAAATGATCATAAATTTCCTAATTAGAGATTTCGCACCAAGACAAAAAGGTGTTAATGAGTTTAATTCCAGTGCCTGTCATTGTCCCTTTTTTCACACCACTTATTTACTAATGGCCCAGAGGGCTGCTCCCGTCTCTCCTTTGTTAAGATTTTAATTTGCCTTCTTTTCTGCCTTTGATGTAAAATTGTGACCTACAACTCTTTGAAGTCCCTTATTAGGAGGAAAATTAACTTAGCTTTTCCACTGTATCTGCCCACTGTTAGCCCAGACAAAATGTAGAGAACTCCTTAAAGATTCAGTACATTAGGAAAATTTTCAAGGTAGCTCTGGAAATGCAGATTTTAAAAAAAAAATTAAAAAAAATCTAATAGACTTTTAAATCTATATTAGGAGATGTAACCCTCGCCAGGGCCGGAGGGGGGGAAGGGAAGGAGGGAATATCTTAATAAAGAAAACAAAATGAACTCGGGTAAGGAAAGGCTGTAAATTTGAAAACCTGAAAAGGGAGGCCGGAGTGGGGGGGGGGCAGCCTTTATTTTTAAATGTCACAACTTTTTCCTGTCCCTCTCGTGTGCCGCTCGCAGCTGACACCCTGGCTTCCTATGCTCCGGGGGAGGGGGGGGTATGAAAGAAATTATATCTAAATCTATCTCTATATAATTAGAATACCATGAGGCAGGGTTAAACCTTTTGTAAAACACACAACTGATTGGCGATCGCTAAAACGAGATTTGAAAGCAACTCAAATAAAAGATCGCGACGTCAGTAAACAGATTTAGGGAAAAAAAAAAAAAAGAAGGAAGAAAAAAAAAAGCGCAAAGCAGCTAGTGACAAACCCGGCGAGAGCGAGCTCTGGGCATGAGAGAGAGAGGGAGGCAGAGGGAGAGAGAGAGACTTAAAAGAAATAGGAGGGGCTTGTGAGAGACTAGAAATGTCAAT